ATTATCGAATACATTACATATTGTTATGAAAAATCCATTATTTTTAATTTTCTTTCAATACATATTAAATAAAATTAAAGTTTCTTCAATCGATCAATCAATACACCCCATTTGGCCATTCCCTATTTAGTCTAGGGTATGCAATAAAACATAAGCTTAAATTCAAAATTTGCATTCAAGTGCAAATTTTTAGAGAAAATAAAACACACACACACACATACTCACACACACGTGTTTAATGAAATGCAAATTTTAATTAAATCTGTAATTATGCGCAAACATTATTTGGTGAACCGCAAATGTTAATTTAGCAACATTTTCAAGTAATTAATTAAAGCGTCAACATATTTTTTGTTTATTAATAAATGAACACAATTTATGTTATTCGAGTTAATTAGCAAATATGTATATAGCTAAGCTGATCAAATAACAAATTATGAAAGTCAGTCAATGAAATATTTGATTGATTTATTAATTATTTTATAGGTGAGCAATAATATAGAAATGGTTTGAGATATTTTATTGTATTGGCATTATTTTAAAGCCATAATTCAAATATTTGAATTAGTTTGCAAGTGCATATGATATCATTTGGGACGGAAATCAGATTCAAAGATATTCAATTATTACAATATATTTGACAAATAATTAAATAGCAAATTTTGTTAGGTGTTCTAGCAGCTGAGTGTTAGTACTAACTTGGCTAATTGCTAATATGTAGTTATTGAAATTGGTATTACTCTTGTTTGGTCAGGCAACAAATTTATATGATTTATTTGATTTTCTGCCAGTTCATATATTATTCCTTTGCGGTCATTGTTTTAAAGCTACATAAATGTATTCCCATCAATCGATTCAACTTGATTTTCCAATCAAATATGCCACGCGTCCAACCGCATCGGCTATGATTAACCTACAGCTACGGATTCGCCTGGCAGCTATGCCAGATTACAGTTGCAGTTGTAGTTGTCCATTTGGGGGTCTGATTACATATTCTGCTTTGCATACCCTGTAAACAATGAGTTGGCGATGAGAGGTAGGGCATATGCTTATTGATTTATTTATTTTTAATTAGCTAAAGCAGCTCCTCAGTTCTTGAAATAAAATATTCTAAAGTTTTTAGTTTGTATAAACATTTGGGCATCTTTCCAGCGCATCTCTTAGTCAATCATGGCTAACGCATTTATATTTCTTTTAACTTTGGTTCTTTTTTGGTTTTGTTTGGTATTTACTGCTCTTTTATTATCAGCGCTGAATCAATTCATTGACATGGCAATGGGTTCATTTGTGCTCAGGTTGTGTCTGACACGCATCATCGCTCCGGCGGGCTACAATGAAAAGGATTTTATATACATACATACATACATACATACATACATATACATATGTATATATACTTTGTTTTTCTCTCTGTTTTGCTTCATTTTATCGGACAGCCAAGTTTAGCCGCATGATTGCGTTCAATTTGCAGTTTGGCAGCAGTCATTTCTGTATCCGTTATTCGATTTGAAATATAGGTAATTGATTCGAGGTCCTGTCAAAGTTTGTATTGATCTCAGCAGTCCGGGAGATGTTTAGATATGTTTGGCATTTGCTCAGTATTTTAGTCTTTTCCATAGTCTAGTCTATTCGAATTCCACATACGAGTTACCCGGAGAAAAATTTCAGTATATATATATATTTGCGTTTTGGATAGAGATACGTTAATACGTGCCAAATATGTTTATCAAAGATGTGACCAATGAACTGCGAACCAAGCAGCAGCCTTTGGCCCCCGCCCAGAAGGTGGCACCCTATGTGGCGGCAGTAAAACGCGGCCCATATACCCTCACGAACCCCGTCTACAGCAGCCCCCAGGTGGAGGACACTACCTCCAAGATGCACAGCCACACGTTTAATGTCAAAATCACACCGAAGCAGAACCACAAATACCATCAGCGTTTGCTACCATCGCCGGTGCCCAAGTCCAAGGCGAATCGTATCAAGTCTCGCTCCCATCTGCTCATGAACGAGCAGCGAGAGATGTATCGACAGCATCGCGATCGCCTGGCGAACATCAAGGGCAAGGTGAACAGTTGTCTGCCGCCGCCGAAGATCAAGCTGAGGGAGGGCAACTGCATGGAGCTGTCCTACATGGAGATGCTCACCGCTCTCTATCGGAAGAGCAACAATACGCTGCGCACCTTTACCAAGTCACCGGATCGGCTGGCCACCGGCCGTTGGCGCAACACGAGCCTGGCCCGGGAGAAGGAGCGCAACCAGGTGGAGAAGAATCAGGTGCTTCACCAGGGCGGCAAGCTCTTCGATCCGCACCTGGGCAAGTCGCGCCGCTCCAAGCCGAAGGTAGCGCAAGCGTTTAGCTACGAGGTGCCGATGCATGTGCTCCATCGGTACGAGGATCTGATGAACATCTGTGATGTGGGTGTGCTCTGCAAGCTGCTGCGTCCACAGATCTATATGGACTTGGAGGTGATTGGCACCCGGATCATGGGTCGCCTGGCCATACAGCTCTTCACGGAGGCGTGTCCCCAGGTCGTGCTCGAATTCATGCGTGTCTGCACGCATCAGAGCTCACGCAGCATCTGCTTCACACGCACCTTCGCGCCCATCTGGCTAGAGGGTCACATTGCTCTCGATCCCGAGCGCAGCATCGACATGAGCAACATCGAGCACGACTTCGAGGTGCTCAACCATGGCGTCGATGCGGGCATTCTCTCCTTCCCCAGCCGCTATGTGCGCGGCAATGCGCGCACCGAGCTCAACTTCACCATCAGCTTCAAGCCGCTCTCCATTCTCAATGGCAAGCGGGTCGCCTTCGGCAAGGTTCGCAAGGGTTTGCAGCTGCTGGAACGTATACACGATGCCACCGCGCATCTGGCCAAGAAGCATGAGCTGGTTGTCATCAAAGATTGCGGCGTTCTCTGAACTACGAATCGTCATGCACAGCAGAGAAACGAACAAACAAACAAAAATATAATAGGAATAGTAGTAAATTCTATAATAGAGCTACGGCCTGGGCCTCAGATCCCAAACCCCGACTCTATTGTGTTGTCTTATCAATATGACTTTATTTTATGCCAAATATAAAATTATATGTATAGAGATTATATATAGATTTTTGTTGTCCTTATTTCTATTCAGTTTGAACTAGTTTGAGGGGTATTTTCCAAGTTTTCATCAAACCTTTGAATAGTTCGATGCATTCGATTTGATCTAGCTAAGCTGTCTGAATGCGATTTCATATGCATACATATATATTTTCAGCTCTTAAGAAAATGCCATATTAGTATAGACTTTATTTCTGTACACTCATGATTTCTCAGAGAATGGAATGAAATTTATATCGAGACCCAAATTCGATTAGACTTTTTTACAGATCAAACTTAAATATATTAATTATATATA